GTCACTATTATCGTCTTCGCCGCGTCGTCTTCGTCATCTTGTTAAATCGTCACTATTATCGTCTTCGTCAGCGTCTTCGTCATCGTCAGTGAGAACAATAGCACAGTTTTAGGGTCCGTCTCCCACCTGTAAATGAGCTTCATTGTCCTGCATCACCACTTGTTATGAATTGTTCCTAGAGGATTCTGTTTATTTCTCCGCTGTTGTGTGTGTGTGTGTGTGTGTGTGTGTGTGTGTGTGTGTATGTGTATGTGTGTGTGTGTGTGTGGCAGACAGAGAGAGAAGAGAGAGACAGAAATAGAGAGAGAAAGAGCGAGAGAAATTAATTGGACACGGGTTCTCCGCTCAGAAACATATAACCTCCCGTCAAAGGTACAAAAATAACATAAGAAAGTATTGGTTTTTCCCTTACTGGCAGAGACACAGAGAGAGTGTGAGAAAGAGAGAGAGAGAGATATATAAAGAAAGTCTCTGTCTCTCTGTCTGTTTCTCTCACAACAAAGGTCTCACAGCAAAGATACAACCAAAAGGAAACTCATGTCATTAGGTTAAGTAGCTAGCTTATTCTTGTGGGGTCGAGGCAATCCAGTCATTCCCAACCCTTTCTGACATAATGAGATTTTTAAGGCTAAAAGCTTTATCATGGAACTAAATTAACCTCTAGTCTTTTCTCCCCATCTATGACCGTCACATCTTTATATTCTGTCGGTAATTAGAATTTAAAAGGTCACAATTACTATTCAAGAAAATTTGCCCTGACCTCTCTCTCTCTCTCTCTCTCTCTCTCTCTCTCTCTCTCTCTCAGCCACGCCTCCATTAAGTATGAGTACTGAGGCGTATTGTTGCATCAGTGAGTCAGTTAGTTAGAAAGTCAATGAGTCAGTGAGCCAATTCAGAGAGTCAATGATCAGTGTCTTCTTTACGTATTGATTAACGAAGAGAAAACTAACCTAACCTAACCTAACCTAACCTAACCTAACCTAACCTAACCTAACCTAACCTAACCTAACCATAACCAAAAATCGACATCACCATAAAACTGAAATCACATTACGTCCATCAATACCAAGACAGACAGACAGACAGACGAAAGATGATACTATATACCCTCCTCCTACAGACGGTGGCGAGGTATAAAAATAAATATTACTGAAGGAGGAAAGTTGATTACGTTACCGCCAGACCCTGATCACGGCCAGACCCTAATCACGGCCAGACCCTGATCACGGCCAGACCTGATAACGGCCAGACCCTGATAACGGCCAGAACCCTGATCACGGCCAAAACCTGATCACGGCAAACCCCGATCACGGCCAGACCCTGATCACGGCCAGACCCTGATCACAGCCAGACCCTGATCACGGCAGACCCTGATCACGGCCAGACCCTGATCACGGCCAGACCCTGATCAGGCAGACCCGATCACGGACAGACCCTGATCAGCCAGACCATCAATATTGCCTTGGTGCTCTCGAGGTCTGCTGAACTAGTGGAAGGACTTGGTGATCCAGGATGGTGGTTAGCTAGTAGGTGGTGCTAGTAGTAGGTGCTAGTAGGTGGTGCTAGTAGGTGGTGCTAGTAGGTGGTGCTAGTAGTGGTGCTAGTAGGTGGTGCTAGTAGTAGGTGCTAGTAGGTGGTGCTAGTAGAGGTGCTAGTAGGTGGTGCTAGTGGTAGGTGCTAGTAGGTGGTGCTAGTGGTGGTAGGTGTTAGTAGGTGGTGCTAGTGGTGGGTGCTAGTAGGTGGTGCTAGTAGGTGGTGCTAGTAGTAGGTGCTAGTAGTAGGTGCTAGTAGTAGGTGCTAGTAGGTGGTGCTAGTGGTAGGTGCTAGTAGGTGGTGCTAGTGGTAGGTGTTAGTGGTGGTGCTGGTGGTGGGTGCTAGTGGTGGTGCTAGTAGGTGGTGCTAGTAGTAGGTTAGCAGTGGGTGCTAGTAGTAGGTGCTAGTGGGTGGTGCTAGTGGTGGGTGCTAGTAGGTGGTGCTAGTAGTAGGTGCTAGTAGGTGGTGCTAGTAGTGGGTGCTAGTAGGTGGTGCTAGTGGTAGGTGCTAGTGGAGGTGGTGCTAGTAGTAGGTGCTAGTAGGTGGTGCTAGTAGGTTGGTGCTAGTAGGTGGTGCTAGTAGGTGGTGCTAGTAGTAGGTGCTAGTAGGTGGTGCTAGTAGTAGGTGCTAGTAGGTGGTGCTAGTGGTAGGTGCTAGTAGGTGGTGCTATTGGTAGGTGTTAGTAGGTGGTGCTAGTGGTAGGTGCTAGTAGGTGGTGCTAGTAGGTGGTGCTAGTAGTAGGTGCTAGTAGTAGGTGCTAGTAGTGGGTGCTAGTAGGTGGTGCTAGTGGTGGGTGCTAGTAGGTGGTGCTAGTGGTAGGTGTTAGTAGGTGGTGCTACAGTGGTAGGTGCTAGTAGGTGGTGCTAGTAGGTGGTGCTAGTAGTAGGTGCTAGTAGTAGTGCTAGTAGTGGTGCTAGTAGGTGGTGCTAGTGGTAGGTGCTAGTAGGTGGTGCTAGTGGTAGGTGTTAGTAGGTGGTGCTAGTGGTAGGTGCTGGTAGGTGGTGCTGGTAGGTGGTGCTAGTAGTAGGTGCTAGTAGTAGGTGCTAGTAGTGGGTGCTGTAGTTGGTGCTGAGTGGTGGGTGCTAGTAGGTGGTGCTGGTAGTAGGTGCTGATAGGTGGTCTGAAGTGGTATGGGTGCTAGTAGATGGTGCTAGTAGTGGTGCTAGTAAGGTGGTGCTAGTAGTAGAGTGCTAGTGGTAGGTGCTAGTAGGTGGTGCTAGTAGTAGGTGCTAGTAGGTGGTGCTAGTAGTGGGTGCTAGTAGGTGGTGCTAGTAGTGGTTGCTAGTAGTGGTGCTAGTAGGTGTTGCTAGTGGTAGGTGCAAGTGGGAGGTGCTAGTAGTAGGTGCTAGTAGGTGGTGCTAGTAGTAGGTGCTAGTACGTGGTGCTAGTGGTAGGTGCTAGTAGGTGGCGCTAGTGGTAGGTGCTAGTAGGTGGTGCTAGTGGTAGGTGCTAGTAGGTGGTGCTAGTAGTAGGTGCTAGTAGGTGGTGCTAGTAGTAGGTGCTAGTAGGTGGTGCTAGTGGTAGGTGCTAGTAGGTGGTGCTAGTGGTAGGTGCTAGTAGGTGGTGCTAGTGGTAGGTGCTAGTTGGTGGTGCTAGTGGTAGGTGTTAGTAGGTGGTGGTGCTAGTGATAGGTGCTAGGTGGTGCTAGTAGTACGTGCTAGTAGTGATGGGTGCTAGTAGGTGGTGCTAGTGGTGGGTGCTAGTAGTAGGTGCTAGTAGTAGGTGCTAGTAGGTGGTGCTAGTAGGTGGTGCTATTAGGTGGTGCTAGTGATAGATGTTAGTAGATGTTACTTAGGCATGGATGATGACAGGAAAGGATGGATGATAACAGGAACGGATGGATGATAACAGGAACAGGTGGATGATAACAGGAACAGGTGGATGATAACAGGAACGGATGGATGATAACAGGAACGGATGGATGATAACAGGAACAGGTGGATGATAACAGGAACGGATGGATGATGACAGGAACAGGTGGATGATAACAGCAACGGATGAATGATAACAGGAACGGATGAATGATAACAGGAACGGATGGATGATAACAGGAACGGTGTGGATGATGACAGGAACGGATGGATTGACAGAACGGATGGATGATAGGAACGGATGATGATGACAGGAACGGATGGATGACAGGGGATGGATGATACAGACGGTGTGGATGACAGGAACGGATGGATGATGACAGAACGGTGTGGATGATGACAGGAACGGATGGATGATGACAGGAACGGATGGATGATAACAGGAACGGATGGATGATGACAGGAACGGATGGATGATGACAGGAACGGATGGATGATAACAGGAACGGTGTGGATGATGACAGGAACGGATGGATGATGACAGGAACGGATGGATGATGACAGGAACGCATGGATGATGAAGGAACGGATGGATGATGACAGGAACGGATGGATGATGACAGGAACGGATGGATGATGACAGGAACGCATGGATGATGACAGGAACGCATGGATGACAGACGGATGGATGATGACAGGAACGGATGGATGATGACAGGAACGGATGGATGATGACAGGAACGGATGAATGATAACAGGAACGGATGGATGATGACAGGAACGGATGGATGATGACAGGAACGGATGGATGATGACAGGAACGCATGGATGATGACAGGAACGCATGGATGATGACAGGAACGCATGGATGATGACAGGAACGGATGGATGATGACAGGAACGGATGAATGATAACAGGAACGGATGGATGATGACAGGAACGGATGGATGATGACAGGAACGGATGGATGATGACCGGAACGGATGAATGATAACAGGAACGGATGGACGATGACAGGAACAGGTGGATGATAACAGGAACGGATTAATGATAGCAGAAATGGTGTGGATGACGGTGGTGGATTACAGATACCAAATAAACGAGCTGACAGATGAAAGTCAAAAGAAAACCTTTGTGTCTTCCCCTCCCCTCTCTCCCCCCTCCCTCACCCCCCTCTCTCTCTCTCTCTCCTTTTCCTTCTCTCTCCCAACGCTCATTTCCTTTCCCTGTGTTTACTCTCATCTCTACCTGTTTCCCCTCTCTCTCCTCCTCCCCCTCCTCGCTGGGGTGACCAATATTCAGGTGACTTGCTTCTTAATTGTTTATTATGTATTATAAATTTGAGTTAAAAATGACTGGAAAAAGATGAGCCAGAATGGGTTTAAGTGTGATTAAAGTACAGGTGTGGAGTACAGGTGTGGAGTACAGGTGTGGATTACAGGTGTGGAGTACAGGTGTGGATTACAGGTGGGGAGTACAGGTGTGGATTACAGGTGTGGAGTATAGGTGGGGAGTACAGGTGTGGAGTACAGGTGTGGATTACAGGTGTGGAGTACAGGTGTGGAGTACAGGTGTGGATTACAGGTGTGGAGTACAGGTGTGGAGTACAGGTATGGAGTACAGGTGTTTAGTACAGGTGTGTAGAAGTGACTTACGTGTGGCAGAGTGTTGGTCCAGGTGGTTCATCTTGGTGCGGCCGTTCACCGTCAGACTGGGAGCTCCAACGCCTACAGGAAAAAGAAGAAACAAACAAATTAGAATAAATTAGTTTGTTTAAAAAAAATCTACAGCTACAGAAGCCAAACATCAATGGTCATAAATCTGAATAAACGATACAGATTTTGCCGATTACAACACCAAATACAAATATAATCTGGCTCATTATGGTTAAATAAATATGTTTTCGTAATTCCGAGTTAAATTGATTTAATGTTTACACTCTATATTAATTAAATGCAGCGTGGAATGATTTTTAACTCAATATTCAGGTCAAGAAAAACACGAACTGGCAACGTCTTTTAAAAATCAGCTGATGTGATGTAAACAGAATATGATTATTTTTGGGGGATACAATTATTATATTTTTCCTAACATCATGGCGTAAATTAGTTATTGAAAGGTTTATTCCCTGGCCCACAAGGTCATCATAATTCTTCAGGATTGATTAAAAAATAATTAATTAAACGTTTTCGTCTTTTTCTACAACTAAGAGATTCCTTCACTCCTGATCTTCTTCTCCTCCCATGTTCCCTCACTCGTACAAAGGCTGTGGTGGTAATATTGATGACAGTGATTGTGGTGATTGTGGTGGTGGTAGCGATGGTGGTAGTGGCAAGGATAGTGGTGGTAATGATGATGATAGTGGCAGTAGTAATATTAGTGATGGTGGTGGTGGTGACCCTAAGAGTCAAATTCTAAAACACAATAAAATTTTTCCTTTAAACTCTCAGTATAGATTTCACAGCCACTCCAGAGAACCGAAGATTTTACCCGAAATAACTCCTACGTGAGGGCCTTTCGAGTAGCTACGTCAAACACTCACAGTAAAGAGTCTTCAGCGATTTACCTGAGTGAGTGTGTGTGTGTGTGTGTGTGTGTGTGTAAACCTTTCCTCCACATCGGCACCACAGGTTAATACAAATACGAAATATATTCTTAAACGCTGAAGAAAAACTGGATTACCTGTAGATTCTTCCCGAGGTTATTTCAACTAATGTTTAACTAATTTAATGTTACCTGACTGGGGTAGGTTAGGATAGGTTAAATTAGGTTAGGTCAAATAAAGTTAGGTTAAGGTTATGGGTAGATTAAGGTAGTTAATCTTAAGGAGAAATAATCTGGGGTAGCTAATGTTCATGTGATCCAAAGTACAGCACACATAACAGAGCCTTAAGGGCAATCCCCAGGTAGAGAGGCGGGCGTGGTGTTTACTCATCAATAACACAACAACAACAACAACAAAATATGTCAACAAAGATATCATGGCGGTGTTTTGATAACGATTTAGGAGGCACAGATAGTCTCTCTCTCTCTCTCTCTCTCTCTCTCTCTCTCTTTTCTCTCTCTTTGGGATGAGTGAAGAGTGATAAAGGATGGGTGTAAAAAGGGCTGCCTAGTATGGCCCCTTTCCCTCTTTTCTTATGTTCTTTATAAATGATTGGCAAGGGCTAAGGGGGCAGAAGGGACTACGAATATTTAATAAGGGCAAGGCATGATTAGGGGGTGAGGATTAAGGGCTAGGAATGACTAGTAAGGGATGAGGGGTGCAGTGAGGAGCCTATGGAGAGGGCCAAAAGAGAGTAAGAATATTTACCTTACAAGAACGCGAGTATAGAATCCGGAAGGCGCGTTTTTCCACACCAAATGTAAACAATGGTAAGAGGCGGGGGGCTTTTAAAAACATGTCTTATATTTACAAACACACCCACGAGTAAGACTTTCCCTTCAAATAAACTAGAAAAAGAAAATTAGTCTGTTTAGTAAAAAAAAATATATACCCTCGAGTCAGCACAAGAATAGGCGAAAAACAGCACAGAAACACTTAAGGTAAAATGAAGTATAAGACGATCTAATAGGAAGAGGAGGCAATTTAAGACTACACTCACAAGAATCAAAACACCATCGACTATATTTTGAGTAGTGAGATAAACCTTTTTTTTTAATTCAGGGTTATTCTATGGTAGTGCATGGGATATTATTAAATCACCGTCATAAATAAGGGTCGATTATTATATGATTTCTCACAACCAGATCTCGAAAAAACAAAATTAAGATCAAATATTTAGCGAGCCTTGGAACTTTCTTAAGCACTTTCATAATTTAGTTACCTGTGTGGAAGATGGCTCACGACTGGCTCATTAGTTACCATGGTGACTGTGATATGATGTGGCTCGTACCCGAACACACACACACACACACACACACACACACACACACACACACACACACACACACACACACAGTCGTCAGTTCCTTCTTTCCACTTAATTATTCTCTGATTTCCTACTTCCCATATTCTTAGTCACAATATTACACTTCTAATTCAACATCTATTTCGTTTCTCTTATTCTCTATCTGTTCTTCTTTTCGTCATTCTCCAATTCATTCTCTCTCTCGCTCACTTACTGAATTCATCAACATTGCTTATTCTCTGTTTCTCTCTTTTCACAGTCGTTCTTTTCTTTTCATTACTACTATACCTCTTCCTCTATTCATTGCTTCTACCTCTTCCCTCTATTCATTCCCTCTCTACCTCTTCCCTTCCATTCATTAGTTCTCCCCTTGTCTCTCGTGTTCCTCCATTATTCACCTCTCTACCGTACCTCCTTTATCACTGTAGAAAGAAAATAAAGAAAAGAACATTACTCCCTACATCTTGCCCCCTGAAGAGAGATAAGAAAGAAAAAGAAAAGAAAAAACTTATTGACTTCATCACTTGGGGAATCAGGTTCATCTCTTAGGCTTCACGGGAGGTAAAAGTTGTGTGGTGGCTTTCGTGTCTGTGATTGGTGCTGCTGGCTGCTATAAATCAACGCTGAGTGGTCCGAACAAACATGCCAAGCCCTACACCTGCAACCATTCTCTTAAACACTCAGACTATAATAAGGAACAAAAAATAACTCTTAATAAGGCCATTCAATTCGTTTAATATATTTTTTAACATTTTTCACAAGATGAGTTTAGGTTCGTTATCCAGATATTACTGGAACATTGGGGGAAAGACTCTAATCCACGCTCCACAATCGTAAGTCTATAAAAAATGAGCATCTACAATATATACAGTACATAGGGAGTTTTATAACGTAATATCACATAAAATAAGAATAGTAATATTAAAAATTCCTGACACCTTAAGATATATATATAGATTTACTGTACTCAACTTTTAAGAATAAGACATACGTTTGATGGGGGTAATTTTCGACTGTTTTTATTCAACTCGCACTGACTGGTATAAACATTCAGAACACGTCTTCTTTTATGATGACATCCAATGGTTGTCATTATTTGTACTTTTCATAATATGTTTTTATTATAATGAATTTTCCCAAGAAAATATCCTTCCGCTTTTTCACTTCTTCCAACATAGTTTTTTTTCGGGGATTAGCCCACCTGAGCACAGGTCACTGACCCACATCAGGGCCTGGGGGGTAATACTACTACTACTACTACTACTACTACTACTACTAATAATAATAATAATAATAATAATAATAATAATAATAATAATAATAAGAATAAGAAGAAGAAGAAATAATAATAATAATAATAATAATAATAATAATAATAATAATAATATAATAATTATAATAATAATAATAATAATAATAATAATAATAATCTTTCTTTCATATTAGTCTACGGCGACGACCAGCCAGAGTCAACTCACCCATCATAACCCTCTCAACCAGCCAACCGTCTCTACCGCGCCTCTCCTCCCTACCGCCTCTCCTCCTCACCACCTCTCCTCCCCCGCCTCCTCCTCCTCTACCGCCTCTCCTCCTCCACCCTCTCCTCCCCACCGCGCCTCTCTTCCCTACCCTCTCCTCCCCTACCACGTGCCTCTCCCTACCCGCCTCTCCTCCCCTACCCACCTCTCCTCCCCTACCCGCCTCTCCTCCCCCACGCCTCTCCTCCCCACCGCCCCTCTCCCTCCCCCCTTGCCTCTCCTCCCTACCGCCTCTCCTCCCCTACCCCTGCCTCTCCTCCCTACCCCACTCTCCTCCCATTCCAGTATTAGTTTAGGCACCTCAGGAGATGGTCACACACCCTCACGCTCGTCTGACCTGACCTGACCTGACCTGTGGCGCTTACCAACCATAGCATACATGTGATAAGTTACTCTCTGTGGCTCCCTCTTACGTATGGCTACATAGAGGTCAATTTGTCTTGCATTATCAGATGGTTACCCCCAGTCATCGTTACCTGTCTTAGTAGGATAATTAACCCTTTAAGGATTAATGTGGCACTTAGGTATTTTATTCTGTGTGTGTGTGTGTGTGTGTGTGTGTGTGTTCTGGACAATACTACATACACAACTATCCAAAATACATACAAACACAATATCAATAAAACAAACAAACAAACAAACAAACAAAAACAATCAATCACTCACCAAATCAATCACTCAACAGGACATCATTCATGTAATATACCCGTCCCAACTCTTCAAACTACCCTGTGTGTTGGCCTGACAATCCTACACAATACACTATAGACAACTGAACCACCAACGTCATCCTTAACAAACCAATTTTAATATTCCCCGTATTCGTATATTCTTAAAAGGTCAAGTAATTTTATTTGTCCCGAAGAAAGACGATCAGATTCCAATAATTCAATTTGTTGATGGATTCGAGTGAAGGGGATCAGCGTATTTACCTTAAAGAACGAGTGTAGAATCCAGATGGAGCGTTTTTCTACACCAGATATGAACAACGTTAAAGGGGGCTTTTAGAAACATGCCTTTTATTTACAATTTAACTGAACGAATCACAACAGGTATTGAACTATAATAAAAGAGAATAATATAACAATACTTCAACATATAACTATTTTTTTGGGGTCTATTATTTGAAAATTATCCACTCGATTTATTTTCCAATTTCAATATGTTTTGTAAATCAGATATGTGGAAAATGTCTTAACGATACGAGGAGCCTCTCTCTCTCTCTCTCTCTCTCTCTCTCTCTCTCTCTCTCTCTCTCTCTCTCACCTACAATACCGTATCTTTCTACAACTGTTTAAGAGAGAAATATCAGAACGGCAGCTGATAGAATTTTCCCTCAACTTGAACGATTTTATCAAGTGGGGGAAAAAAACTCAGATGAGAATTTCTACATTGGAAAATTACCTGGTGGGATTCTCTCGGGTGAATAATGGTTTGGGTGGTGATCTATCTATCTATCTATCTATCTATCTATCTATCTATATTGGTCGCGTCTCTCACCTGGCTGGCGGCATCATCCCTCCATATTTTATGACTGTTGCACCTTTTATGGCCCTAAATAGGATAGGAAACAATATTTTATAGGGTAAACAATTATGTTTACCAAGATAAAACAATAGTGTTTACTATATCCAGCGGTCTTACTGATGAACCATGCGTTACGTTATTTAATTTGCATTCCGTCACACTCAACGTACCGACATCGTAGAGGTTAAGAATTTGTTTTTAAGTATTTGGGGAATTTTTTTAAATGATACAAATGTTTAAATGCTTAAAGACCCCCCACCCCCGCCCTTCAATGGTTCACCTTGTCTCGTCGTCCATAATGGCTCAGTAAACAAAGTGTCACGTGATCTTACATTTACTCAATTAGTCTCGTATTAATAAGAGATCGTCTAGGTCATGGGTACAGCGGCTGAATAGCAGTTAGATAAGGGAGAGAGCACTTTTCGCGAGCCATCACGAGCAATCAAAATGGCTGCTTCAAAATGACCTGCCAGCCAAGTCACATAACACGTTACTTGAAGATCATTGGTTGTCATGTCGCAAAGAGGAGGAGGAGGGACGAAAATGACTGGCAACACGGCGGGTACAGAAATTTACGCCTAGAAATTTGTAAGATGCTCCGTTAATATTGATGTGCACCAGAAATGATATGAAGTCGTATGTTTGGGTTTTTATTGTCTGTAATATTGAAAATTGGAAACCTGCGGACAGCCAATGGACGAATATTAACCTATTTTAGTCTCCCATAACACAGCACAACAGAAAACCAGTGTACTTCTCTTCTCATTTTCTATAATGTGAAGGCGTAGATGTAACTCGTATTCTAAACGCTCAGTACTGTACACTCACACGTACATGTACAAAAATACTCATAGAGGCGCACATGTACACACTCACCTGACAACCACTATATGTACACACACACACCGTTAGCCACTCCTCTACACCACTGCCATACACACACACACACACACACACTCATGTACAAAAGTAAACACACCACTGTAATTTCCTCTCCCTTCTTTGCCGTCCTGTGGCTCCCTACCTCCCTACCCACCTCCATTCCCCCACCCCACCTCCCCTACCCCCCTCCCCACCCCACGCACCTCCCCCTCCCCATTACCTCCCTTCCCTCCACACATCCTCAACGCACTTCATTCATATACACACTCACCTACCACTCAAAAGCGTCTTCCCACACACCCACAGATACACCTGATACTCTTAACATCATTCCCTGGCTGGGGGTGAAGGGCTCAACAGGGACTCCACCGCTTGCTTCAGAGTTTAATGTGAGCGAGTTTGATGTAGTCTCCAGTGATCGTCGTCTCCTAGTCCGTCCTCCAACGGCTGGTGCCCTGGACCCTGGTCTCCCTGCCCACAACCTGAAGTAAGGCCCTGAAAGCTGGACTGTCAGACGCTGCATCCTAGACTTAAGCTCCCGTGGGTGGTGGTGATGGTGGAGAGTGGTAGTGGTGATGGTGGTGCTTGATAGAGGTGGTAGTGGCGCTAGATAGTGGTGGTGGTGGTGGAGACGGAGACTGGTAGTGATGGTGACGGTAGTGAAGACTGTGGTAACTACGACACACACACAAACACATCCCTGAATAAAATCTCAATTCAAACTAAATTCCAAAAAAAATATCCACCAGGTAACGAGTCTGTGAAAGAGAATAAAGTAAAATAAAACCTTCAGAAAATTATACACCACAAAGCATTATTTCAAGGTCAGTATTTATGTATGTAATGGTGCGAGTGTGGAGTGGCGGAAAAGCTTTAGTTATCCCTTAAAACACTTGCAGCGAAGAGATGTTTTCTACCATAAGTTAAGCTGCGTCGTGTGTTATGCAGTTTTAGACAATTATCACCGCGTGTGTGTGTGTGTGTGTGTGTGTGTGTGTGTGTGTGTGTGCGTGTGTGTGTGTGTTGCCCTGGTTTTATACGACGACGCCTCCTCCTCCAGCACACTAATTAGACCATTAACACCCACAAACAGCGAACACAGGCGGCTTAAGTCCCTGGGGCTTCACCATTACAGAGCACCAGCAGGAGTTAAAACCAGGTGATGAAGAGGAGAGGGGAGGAGAGGAATATGAAATGATAATGGAATAAGGATGAGATAGATGAAGAGGAGATAAAGCAAAGAACACAATAAACAGGGTGAAAGGAAGTACAGGTGAGGATAAGAAGAGATAAGAATTGCAGGAAGATAATGTAAACAAAAGGAAGAGAGTGTCTGGGGAGGAAGGAAGAGGAGGTTACAGGGGGGGAGGGGGAGGGAGGTCAAACAGGTGGAATACGCGAGGCTTTAGAGGTAACCAGACAGGTAACTCATGTCACAGGTGGGCGGTCAGGTAGGTATAATAATCACTGCAGGTCTAATGTTAATCTGCTGACGGGCATTACTCAGCCCACCACCACGAGAGAGAGAGAGAGAGAGAGACTATGGCTGACCCTCGCTGTGGTGGTAGCGTGGCTTGGTGGATTACACCCTCCACAGCTATCAGTGATGCAGCCTACCTGGCCCTGACACCTACCACGTACATCTTAACTCTCCCTCTTATCTCTCCTTCCCTTCCCCTTCCTTGAATCTTCATTTCCTCACTCCCCTAATCCATCATTCTCCCCTTTCTCCTTATTCCCTTCCTCCCTGCTTCATTCCCTCCATCCTGTCCCTCCTCCCTCCCTTCCTCCTTTAACCCATCATCCCCTTCCTTCCCTTCCTTCACTTCCATCCAAACACGTTTATTTCCCCCTCCTTTATTCCTCTCCCCTCTTCTTTCCTCCCAATCCTATACGATTATCCTCTCTCTCTCTCTCTCTCTCTCTCTCTCTCTCTCTCTCTCCTCTCTCTTCTCTCTCTCTCCTTCAGTATCTTGTGTTAATCAAAAATTGCCATAACAAACACCTGTTAACCTGTAACACCTGTGCCACATAACACCTGTGCCATAACCAACACCTGTACCATAATCAACCTGTGCCATAATCAACACCTGTACCATCACTACCTACCATAATCACCATCCTGTAATCAACACCTGTACCATAATCAACACCTGTACCATAATCAACACCTGTACCTTAACACCTGTACTACGTCAGATCCCCTCAGGAGTGACGACAAAGTAAACTCATCAGTGGGTATTTACACACTGAATTATTGATGGAAGAGGTACTGGTCATACACACCACACACACACACACACACACACACACACACACACACACGTGAGGTGTAAAAGCCCCAAGTGGTCATATTCGGACACAGATCCTACGAGAGAGACAAACAAAGTGATAAAGACACAGGCACCAATCAGGGTATGGGTCTGATATAAGAGAGAGAGAGAGAGATGAGGCAGGGAGATGATGAATAGGTGTGAGAGGTAAGGAAGGAGGGGCAAAATAGGAGAATAAGAAATGGGAGAGAAAAGATTAATGCTATAAATGGAACAAAGGAGAGAGGAACAGAAAGATGTTGTGAAGAAGAAGGTGAAAAGAGTTAAGATGAAAGAGAAAGAGAACAAGGAGAAATAATAAGAAAAAAAGGGAGGATGAATGACAAGGAATGAAAGAATGGAGAGACAATGAGCGTATGATATGTATGTGTGTATGTATGTATGTGTATATGTATGTATGTATGTATGTATGTATATGTTTTTTATCCGATGACGTCATGATGTAGCCATATACACGTTGATTATTATTGAAGGCGGTACTGTGTTAACTCTGTTCTGGGCCAAGTAGTGGTTAGTGGTGGTGGTAGTAGAGTGGTGGTTAGTGGTGGTGGTAGTAAGTGGTGGTTAGTGGTGGTGGTAGTAGAGTGGTGGTTAGTGGTTGTGGTAGTAGAGAGTAGTGGTTAGTGGTGGTGGTAGTAGAGTGGTGGTTAGTGGTGGTGGTAGAGTGGTGGTTAGTGGTGGTAGTAGTAGAGTGGTGGTTAGTGGTGGTGGTAGTAGAGTGGTGGTTAGTGGTTAAGTGAGGGTATTGTAATCAGCCCGAGTATAAAACAGTCCATTAGAGTACCAGTTACTTAATAAGTCAGCCACTCAATTAGTCGATCACCAGTTATGTCAGTCGGTCACTTAATTAGTCAGTCAGCCTTTCATTCAGTTATCCCCCTAATTTTATCAGTCAATCATTTACTCAAGAGAATTAAATGGTAATGACAACAAGCAGCTCTAATCACCTCAATAATCACCCCAATAATTACCCTAATAATTACCTCCTAAGCGATAGAACACCACTTAATTTTGGCCCTGCAGGTATGATGAGCGAGACAGGTGACGCAGGTATGATGAGCGAGACAGGTGACGCAGGTATGATGAACGAGACAGGTGACGCAGGTATGATGAGCGAGCCAAGTGACGCAGGTATGATGAACGAGACAGGTGACGCAGGTATGATGAGCGAGACAGGTGACGCAGGTATGATGAGCGAGACAGGTGACGCAGGTATGATGAGCAAGACAGGTGACGCAGGTATGATGAACGAGACAGGTGACGCAGGGATGAGCGAGACAGGTGACGCAGGTATGATGAGCGAGACAGGTGACGGCAGGTATGATGAGACAGGTGACGCAGGTATGATGAGCGAGACAGGTGACGCAGGTATGATGAGCGAGACAGGTGACGCAGGTATGATGAGCGAGACAGGTGACGCAGGTATGATGAGCGAGCCAAGTGACGGTATGATGAGCGAGACAGGTGACGCAGGTATGATGAGCGAGAAGGGGACGCAAGTATGATGAGCGAGACAGGTGACGCGGTATGATGAGCGAGACAGGTGACGCAGGTATGATGAGCGAGACAAGTGACGCAGGTATGGTGAGCGAGACAGGTGACGCAGGTATGATGAACGAGACAGGTGACGCCGGTATGATGAGCGAGACAGGTGACGCAGGTATGATGAGCGAGACAGGTGACGCAGGTATGATGAACGACAGGTGACGCAGGTATGATGAACGAGACAGGTGACGGGAACAAATAATTAACCTTTGTATAAACAAAACAAAAGCTCACGTGTGAAAATGAGTTGTGGAAGAAAGTAAGAGAGAGAGAGAGAGAGAGAGGCCATCAGTGATATAACTCTCCTAACTCGTTCATAACTCATTTAACCCCAGCACTTTATCACATAGGAGCTCTTAACTCATGACTCTTCTAACGGGTATGTGTGTAACCATGAGCAGAGTAACACACACACACACACACACACACACACACACACACACACACACACACACACACACACACACACATGTCAAGGTGATGGTGTCATGTATATCCCCATTTACAACTTTCAACTCGTCACAACACATCTAGGTTAGTTGGGTTGGGTGGTTGTTGGGTTGGTGTTGGTTGTTGGGTTGTTGGGTTGGGTTGTTGGGTTGGGTTGGTGTTAGTGTTGTTGTTACTGTTGGGTTGTTGGGTTGTAGTTGGGTTGGGTTGGGTTGGTTGGTTGGTTGGGTTGGGTTGTTGGTTGTTGGGTTCGTTGGTTGAATCCCAGTCAGAGTTCCTTCAGGTAGTAAGGTTCTTTCACTGCCTGTCACCACTACCCCCCCACCACTACCACCTCACCACCCTACCCCACCACTACTCCCATCACCACTACTCTATCACCACCACTACCACCACTACTCTACACCACTACCTCTACCACCACTACCTCTACCACCACTACCTCTACCACCACCACCTCTACCACCACTACCTCTACCACCACTACCATACTACCTCTATCACCACCTCTATCACCACTACCTCTACCACCACTACCTCTATCACCACTACCTCTACCACCACTACCTCTATCACTACTACCACCACTATCTCTACCACCACTACCTCTACCACCACTACCTCTACCACCACTACCACCACTACCTCTATCACCACTACCTCTACCACCACTACCTCTATCACCCTACCTCTATCACCACTACCTCTACCACCACTACCTCTATCACCTCACTATCTCTACCACCACTACCTCTACCTACTACCACCACCCTCTATCACCACTACCTCTACCACCACTACCACCACTACCTCTATCACCACTACCTCTACCACCACTACCTCTACCACCACTACCTCTACCACCACCTACCTCTATCACCACTACCACCACTATCTCTACCACCACTACCTCTACCACCACTACCACCACTACCTCTACCACCACTACCTCTATCACCACTACCACCACTACCTCTACCACCACTATCTCTACCACCACCACCACTACCTCTACCACCACTACCACCACTACCTCTATCACCACTACCACCACTACCTCTACCACCACTACCTCTACCACCACCACCACCACTACCACCACTACCTCTACCACCACTACCTCTACCACCACTACCTCTACCACCACTACCTCTACCACCACTACCTCTACTACCTCTACCACCACTACCTCTACCACCACTACCTCTACCACCACTACCTCTACCACCACTGGCACCACTACCTCTACCACCACTACCTCTACCACCACTGGCACCCTAGACAGAGCCTGGGGGGAGGGGGGGGGGTTACAGTGTCTCCTGGTTACCTGCTACAAATGAGTTGATCCACTACAGGTGTTGAAGGTCGAGGTGAAGTAAATGATCGACTCACTGTTCTTGTAATTAACCTAACCTAACCTAACCTAACCTAACCTCACCTTGACCTGCGACCTTTGTCTTTATCCTCCGAAATTAAATCAGGTTCTTGCCAGGCCAATACCTGAGACACGCCTGCCAAGCTTAATTAAATTTTCCTACCTGTGTTTCCTCCGTTTTACTCTCACACACACACACACACACACACACACCTGACCTTCACACCTGACCTATTTTAACCTCAAAACTAATTTAATCCCCTTGGTCTCTTAATAAACTTACCTTTTAATACTTTTATAATGTAATTAATAGTTCTGTATTATTTAACTCTATTTTGTCAAAGGTCAACGTTCGTATATCAACCTTAACCTGTGAACTTTGAACTTTGGCCTTTAAAACGTTCGCTATTTGTTTATTCGTTAGTCTAAATCTATCAAAAAATCGACTGTAATCGGATCTATCGTTTTAGAAGTCTGGTTAATTGCCAAGTCCACAGACAGACAGACAGACAGACAGACAGACAGACAGGGAAGTGTGGCCGCCATTCAAATCATCACAGTGAACCGAACACATTCTACTACCCATAGCTCATGAAGATTAGACACCCCTAATTTATTTCAACTGATGATTAAACACCTTTAATATTACCTGGTTGAGGGGGGGGGTGGGTGGAGGGTTAGGTTAGGTTAGGTTAGGTTAGGTTACGTTAGATTAAGGTGAGATAAGTTCGATTAGCATTACGGCTTTTAACAGGTGATACAATAATGACACCTAACCCAAGAAACTCCTAAAACAAAAACAACAACAAAACAATCATAACAACGACAAGAAACAAGGAGGCACTTATCCAACAATTACCTTCCCTCAGTAACACGACAAAAACTGTAATTGCTACCTGGCAGAGTATAATTAACTTAATAGATCCACGAAAGGTAATTACTCCACTCATTAACAATTCTCTTTCTGTCAATATTAGCCCCGTGTTTGTGTCCGGCAACGAGCGAAGTGATGCTAAGTTTTATCTCAAGGAAGGATTGATAGCGACCCGGCACACTAAGATGGAGTGACCCTCTCTACAAAGGTAAGACTTTCATTAGCTGGTATTCATGTAATGGGATGTATTCGCTAAAAAAAAATCGTATATACAGAAATTCGTGTGAGGGTATATTTGTAAACTCTTAAAAAAATCGTATATACTGGCTTTAGTGTGATGGTATATACCCTTTTATAGTAAATTCGTATATACAAACTTTCTTAATTACTTATTTGTCAAAAGGTGTATCTATGACATATATAAATCAGGGTTATTTAATTACTCCGATATATATTATGATGTAAATGAAGTTCAATATATAAATAACCAAATAAAATCAATTTCTTATTTTTCTTTCAATCAAGTAATTGCTAATTCTTAAATAAATAATAAATCACCTCTAAATCACACAGACTAAACACGTTCAATAAAATGCAAAAACAAATTAATGAAAATAATTTTTTTTGTCTCCTAATTCGTACTATTTTCCTCCTAATTCATACTATTTTCCTCCTAATTCGTACTATTTTCCTCCTAATTCGTACTATTTTCCTCCTAATTCAAACTATTTCCCCTTAATTCGCACTAATTCCCCCTAAAATCAAACTAAACCAACATCTATAACTTTAGGAACCACTATAACAATTACGATACTTTTAAACATCACCAAAACAAAGTCCCAATCTTACATCTTAACTTACGACAACCAAAAGACTCCTCGTCTGCACCAAAAGATAATCCGATCCGATAACTTTACAATTCGATACTAAGTTTAAACATTAGATTCGACACTATCTTATACCTGGGAATGTTATCTTTGAAACTAATTATAAATGAGATAATATCGATAACCTGGATTCATTCAGCCACGTGTTTCAAGCAGGTATGTGGGATTCATTCAGCCACGTGTTTCAAGCAGGTATGTTAGATTCATTCAGCCACGTGTTTCAAGCAGGTATGTTAGATTCATTCAGCCACGTGTTTCAAGCAGGTATGTTAGCTACTATAGCCTCTCAACTGATTTATATTTTTAATAATAAACTCACCCTTGAAAGTTATTAACACAGGTAAACTACTGCACAGGTATTATTTAAGATCTCCCCATTAACAAAAAATTAACTTCTCTTCATTAACAGGTATGGAACAGTACTCCTTCAATATTGTTAATAATATAGGTAAACGCGGGTATTAAATCATATCTTTAACCTCATAATATTTACCTATTAATAAACGTCCGTCTGTTCGTCTTTACAACATCTTACTTCATAATTGTCTCGCCTTTTCCCATTAACCACTTGAGTAAATTTTGCAATGTCTCTTTATCCATTAACAACAACATTATTTACATACCTAATATATATCTTCCCATTAACATCAATTCACTCATCATACCCTACAAATTCTCCCATTAAAAGTTATACATAAACACTACACCTCATTATACCTTCGTTAAGTCTTTTCATAACACATATCTAGGAATCAGGAGTCTCATTCTATAACTACTTTGTATAATGATGGAGAAAGCTGAGAGCCTTATAAAACTCAGGGTAAGGCTCATTAAGTACACTAGGTTTATTAATTACAGACTCCGAAGCTTCTCACACGACGAGTACTTTACGCAGAGAAAATAAACTATAGTGAGGTGATGGTTTAGTACAGCCTTACCCTCTCCTGTAGTGTATGGGGGAGTGTGGTGCTTCTTACCTGGTGAGAGAGAGAGAGAGAGAGAGAGAGAGAGAAAAAAAAACACTCCTACCTCACCTTATGTACACACACACACACACACACACACACACACACACACACACCTGTCTTCATTATCTACCGCCAGGTATTATCATCATCACCTTCCGCGTCGCCCCACCCACCTGAGACAAGTTAATTAACCCCCAAGACGCCTTCTCTCAGGTAAGGACCCCACGTGTATAGTGCCTTAGTGTTGATATTAGTGAATGATATCTTACACTCATCTAAAAACACTACAGGTAATGTATTTCACTCACAGGTAACGGTATTAATGAATAGTACAGTCAATTATCACCCTTCGTTATATTCTAGTTTTCAGGAGAATAAATTTTACATCATAAATTTGTTCACTTTT